GTGTCACCATTTGCAATTTGGGAAAAAGAATTGCCAAGGATTATACATGATCCAAGATATACATGTAAGTTATAATTGTTTGTATGTATTTTTCTTTTTCTTCTTTTCTCTATTCAATCGTACCTTGCATTAGCCAACACACTTTGATCTATTTCATAAACTTTCACGTAGTAATTACGACATTGAAGCAGCGGAAAGAAATTTTTGATGAATATTGTAAGGAGCGAGTTGTGGAAGTGAGAGCCGAAAAGATCAATAAAGCCAAAGTAATATATGCCTAAATCATCTATTTCACAATTATATATATGCCAATGCTTAATATAATATATGTACATTTTCGCAGAATTTAACTGCCAAAGATGAGTATTTAAAACTTCTCGAAGAAGAAACATCTCACCGTTCTCATTGGGATTCCTTTAGAAAAAGGTTTAAAAGAGATCCGAGATTCAAAAATTTTTCTGATGACAAGGAAAGAGAAAAGGTATTCCGTAAGCATATCCATGAATTAAAAGAGATGGAAGCAGAACGTATGAATGATTATTAAATTATTATGTTTATATTTGAATTGTGAGTTTATATAATTTGTCGTTAACATACACCAACTAAATTTTATGCATAGGTAAAAGAATACAACAGAAAAAGGCGCAGGATGATTTTATGAAGCTTCTGAGAGAAATAAGAGAAATAAAGCCTGATTCCAGTTGGCGCAAAGTATTATCGATTTCGACTTATTTAAATTTTGTATTAGCATGTATATTAATGTTCATACGTTGCAGGTAAAACGGTTAATTGATGAAGATCCACGATATATTGCAGTCCAATCGTCAAGCCTGAGAGAAGAGTTGTTCAGAGAATATTGTGAAAAGCTCGAAGCAGAAGATGAAGAAGAAATGGCAAGAAAAGAAAATGAACGGAAACAACGGGAACGAAAAGAAAGGTATTCATTATGATCTTGAATTTTATATTATTGCTTTGGTAGATATATGGTGTTATTTATAATTTACTATCTCAAGAGAAGAAGCTAGCTTAAAGAATAGAGAAGCTCAAGTGAGAAGTGAAAGGCGGTATCAGAATTATGATAGGAATTCTGCAAAAAGGAAAGCGATGCGCGATAAGTCTATTCTTGAATTCCAAACTTTATTAATTGATTTAGTGCGGACGCATGAGGTATATTGAAATTTGTGTTCAAAATTATATTTTCTTGAATGCGTGTTCTTTCTAATGTTCATTGTAACATATAAGACCACATGGGACGGAAAGAAACATAGTCTAGAGCATGACCCTCGTTTCCATGGTGAAGGCCTCGAAGATAATGATAGAGAACGCCTTTTTAATGAACATACTGAGGATCTATACCAAAAGCGCCTAAAATCATATCATCAACTTCTTAGCCAACATGTAAAATTAGACACTACGTGGATTGAGATTCAGCCAGTTATCAAAGAGGATCCACGTGCAGTACGGCTTTCAAAGAATGAAGCTCTTTTGGAGGAATTGTTTGACAAATACTTGGCTAGAGAGATTGAAAAGGCTAAAAAAGAATTTTTAGAACTCTTGAAAGAAAATCAATTTATAGAATATAGGACGCGCATGGTTCAATTATCAGAAAATGGAGCAAAAGATGAGACAGGCGCAGAGAAGGAAAAAGCTCGTGGGTTAACTAAAGAGGAAATTCATGATGTGCTCAAGGTAGTTATTTTATTCATTTGAGCTTATAAATTTTTTTCCTAAATAATAATAATAATAAAATAAATTAATATAATTACTATTAATGTTCCTATAGGAGGATAATCGATATTTGGTTTTAAACCATATGCCTGAAGTCCGTGATGAATTCATTACGGAATATTTAAATAATTTTGAAGCTCCAAAAATGACTGTTCATCAAGGACGTTAGGTTGTAACCAAAACTTGTTTGAATGATGACATCAGGGTTTGGGAATCAGGGTTTCTATTTCATTTGGGATACCCAATTATATCCCATTTTCGGTCAATAGTATCGAACTCAAAAACCGTCTAATTCATTAAATCAATGCTATAAATTATTAAAATTCTTTTTATTTTCAAGTGATTTAGTGACTAAGGAGGGTATGCTAGATCTAATAGTTATATCGGATTTGCTTATATTGGGATTTTAAACCATTTAAAATAAGGAATCGCAGGGATGCGATATTTTGTCACAAAAATCAAGTATTATAGGAATTTTTTTTATACATTTATATGCAACATTTCATGCTAAAAGTCTTGAGAAAAGATGGTTATCTTAATAAAATTAAAAAATTTTGAAAAATCTTCAAAAAAAAAAATAAAAAAAAATGTAAATATTTTTAAATTATATTTTCTGTTCTTTAACGCGAACCTTTGCATGTAAGTATATGTTATGCCCTGATGGCAATCTGCCCAATTGTTAATTGGTCTAGATCGAATTACCATTTAAATTTGGGTTATCAATTTTGTTTCAAATAAAAAAAAAAAGAACTTAATTAGGCGTCGCACTATGCAATACGATTATATATCGCACCATAACGATTTACCAATTATATTAATTTTTGTTTTTTAAAAATTGCTTATGACCCAGTTTTTAATATTTAATAAAAAAATTTCCTATAAGGTTTATTATATGTTATATTTATTTTTTTTGGTTTTAAAAAGTAATTTTTTGGTTAATAGCTTTTATTTAGTTCAAAATGCTATTTGTATAATAATTTGATTATAATATTAGTATATACTGTATCTGAAGAATACAACTAGTTATACCTGCAACTTTTGGTTATTTATTTAAGTAGTCCAATTATAGGTTTTATTTTATAGATTTTATATTAGTTATTATATTTATAATTTAACTAAAAAGCTATTTATTTAAATCTTGTACTTATAATTTCTAAAGCTTAATTAAGCAAAAAATAATATAATCTTTTTTGTACTTGTTTAATTTAAAACTTTGAAGCAAATAATAATTTATTAAAAAATTTTTTATTCTTAAGATAAATCTATTAAAGCTTTTTGTATTTATATTTTTAACCAATTTAGATTTTAGTAATTAATATTTAATCTAAAAATTATTACTTTTTTTTTTTGGTGTTAAGGTGACCTCTTGGTCGCGTACCTTTATTCGATTATAGTTATAATTTTTACAGTATGATTTTCACATACCGTATACATGTTTGGAGGGTACAACTAGCCACACGTACAACTTTTGGTTGCCTATTTTAAGTAGTCCGCTTATTACTAAGTTCTACACTAGATGTTATACCTATAACCCGACTAGGGGGTTATCTATTTAAACCCTCTGCGCCTATGTGATTACATAAAAAAAAATTATTACTTGTAATTTATTATTATTATTATTATTATTATTTATTTCTAGTCTTGTAAAGTTTATTTTAAATTTTGATATTTTCTTTAAATTTATTAAATATTTTTTAATTTTAGTATAGTCAAACTTTCTAAATACAACCTTCATAAATACAATATCTTTCTAAATACATGTTTTTGTCTTGGCTATATGAAATCATTAGTACTAAATATATATTCTATATTCTGTAAATGCACATTTACTTTAAAAATTTTTTATATTATACTAACCTCACTAAATACATATAGCCAATCAGAAGTTAGTATTTAAGTTTGTTATATAAGCATGCAGATCAAATATTAAAAAAAGTAATTTGATTGGTTCTTTCTAAATACAAATCTCTCTAAATGTATAATTTAAACTGGTCTATATATATTGTATTTATAGAGGTTTGACTATATCTTTTAATTAATTTTTTTAAAAAAATTATTATTTATTCTTAATATTTTTAGATAAATCTTTTTTTAGTAAATATTTTAATAGCTTAATTAATATCTCTTAAATTGTAATACAAGCAAATTTGTTTGCATTTATTTTTTTAAGTTTTAATTTTTTAATAAATTTTAAAGGTACTGCTATTTACACTATGATTTTTGCTATTTGCACCATTAGTTTGACCAAAATTAGTTAGAGTTAGAGTATAATTTTAGTCAAATTAATAGTACAAATAGCAAAAATCATGGTGCAAATAGCAATTCCCAATCTTAAATATTAATTTTAGAAATATACTTTCTAAGCAAAATATATTTTTAAAAATCTACTTTATTAACTTTGTTAAGAAGCTTTTAAAATTATTAAAAAATTTTTAATTAATTAAAGTTCAAAGTTTGTATAATATTAACATTTACTATTAAAATTTTTTTTAAATTTTTTAAAATTTTATATATTTCTAAAATTAGAAAAAATTTTACTTTTAAAAAAATATTAATTTTTACAAATAAATTACAAAATTTATAAGAATTAAAATTATAATCTATTATTCAAACTATAAAGTTGTATTAAAAACTATAAGTCTAAAATTAATATTTAAAAGTTTGTTATAAATAAACTAAAATATTTTTTTTTAAAAAATTATTTTTAAAATTGTATATTTTTGGTTTATAAG